TTGATAAACAATCTGTAAGTCTGGATCTGTTGCTTGTAGGGAGGGCCAGTCTGTCTCCGGAGCTGTACTAAGAATTGCGTTAAGAATATCTGTGGTCTGGCGTATTCGGGAGAGGGCATCCGCGTTTGCATGTCGATTTCCCGGTCGATACTCGCATGTGAAATCAAAATCTTGTAGTCGTTCCTGCCAGCGTGCCACTTGCCCTTCTGGTTCGCGGAAAGAGCGGAGCCACTGTAGTGCACGGTGATCCGTGCGCACACGAAAGGGTTTGCCCAGCAGATAATGGCGAAAATGTTGTAAGAATTTTACTAGTGCTAACATCTCCCGACGTGTTGTAGAATATCGTGCTTCACTCTTATCCAGTCGTCGACTAGCATACGCAATCACCCTTTCGTGTCCATCTCGAGCTACTTGTGATAAAACTGCTCCGATAGTTGAGGAACTAGCGTCCGTATCAAGTATAAATTCGCCTCCGTCTGCTGAAGTATCTGGGAAGGCTAATATAGGCGGAGAAGTTAACCGAGCCTTCAAAGCATCGAACGCCTGTTGACACTCGCCGGTCCATAAAAATTTTCGTCCTTTGTGGGTTAATCAATGTAAAGGTGCTGCTAAGGATGCGAAATCACGTACGAAGCGTCTATAGTAAGAAGCTAGTCCAAGGAAGCTACAAACGTCTTCGGGTGATTTTGGTTGCAGCCAATTAACGATCACACGTGTCTTTTCTTTATCTGTTGCCACTCCATCTTCCGTAATGCGGTGCCCTAAAAAGAGCACTTCTTTTTGCAATAGTCGACATTTAGATGGTTTCACTTTTAGGTTATGCTGCCTAATACGTTGTAGGACTGCCTTCAAATTGGCATTATGTTGTTCTGGCGTGCTGCCATATATAATAATATCATCAAGGTAGATTAAGCACTGGTGCGGTACGAGACCGTGTAGAACTGTCTGCATTAATCGTTGGAAGGTGGCTGGGGCATTAGTTAGCCCGAAAGGCATTACTTGAAATTCATATAAGCCATTGGGCACTATAAGTGCAGTTTTTTTCTATCTTGGGGTCGGACTTCCACTTGCCAATACCCTGATGCTAAGTCTAGAGTTGAGAACCAGCGAGCACCTTTCATGGCATCTAAGGTAGCGTCTATCCGTGGAAGTGGAAAAGAATCACGCTTAGTTATAGCATTAAGGCGTCGATAATCTACACACAGTCGTAGGGAGGAATCCTTCTTTTTTACTAAGACAATTGGCGATCCCCATGGTGACGAAGATGGTACAATAATCTTCTTTTCTAGCATGTCTTTTATCATTGATTCTAAGTGAGGCTGATAATGCACCGGGACTCTGCGAGGCGGTTGGCGTAATGGCATGTGGTCACCTGTAACAATGGAATGTTGCACAATGGTTGTCCGATTTCCAGAGATATTCTCCGAGAAAACAGAGCTAAATCGTTGGAGTACGTCAATGGTCGCTTGACGGTCCTTTTCACTTATTACTTGGTTATCTTGCACCTGACGTACAATCTCTGCAATTCCTACCTGGGCTACGGTTTCGGTTGGCATTTCCTGGCGTTGTAGTTGCACGACAACCCCGCCAATTTTAGCTTCCGACTTATTCATGTCTATAGAGACCTGATATCTTAACATGAAGTCAACCCCGAGTATCATGTTCCAGGTCAGTGTGGGGCAAACCAGGAATTCATGTCGAAAAGAGTTCTTGTTTATTGTTAGCTCTAACCCGATCTTAGAACACGCAGTCAAGGGGTCTCCGCTCGCCGTGATTAATGTAGAGGAGCACTGTTTACACTGAGTGCTGTGGTTAAGTCTCTGCAAGAAGTCTTCCTTAATGAGGGATACTGAAGCTCCTGTGTCTAGAAGTATGTCTAGCTCGATGTGTTGTACTCTACCTTTAAATGTAGTTGGATTGACATGATTAACATAGGAAGATAAGTAACCAAAACGCCGCTTACCTGGTTTACGGGGACGGTTGTGACCGCCTCTTCTGGCGTTCCTGCCAAACCTTTTGCAATATATACAGTCGGCTTGACGCCCATTGTAGTTTCCCCATGCTGGTTGTTTATTCCACCTCGAATTTGACTGTCCGCGGATAGCACCTCGGTCGGGAAGGTCGGTCACAGCCACTGTAGTCTGGCAGTTGTCCAGGAAACTAGATTTTGTAGCTCGTCCCACAGTCGTTACTGGTGATGAATGTGCATTGGATAAATTCACTAGTTTGTCAGCGGCCAGGAATCGTAATGTTGTTCTTTTTACGTCAGACGTATCAGTTGGTGGATTTCGAAGAAAATGTTCTTTAAGTGGTCCGGGCAACAGGCCTTCGACAAAACGTGAGCGTATTAGTTCCTCTCGTCCCATCATATCTAAACGAGGGAATGCTTGTACTGCGACTTGCTGCAGGGAATGAAGATAGTCTATTAGACTCTCGCTCGCTTTCTGGTGGCGTGATAAAAACTGAATTGTCACCTGCTGGGTGTCTACGGGCATGGAAAAACAGTCGTCTAGAATTCTCCAGTTTTGTGAGAGCGTGTTACTGGCCGCAAAACCATTCGCTATAGCCCTGCGTACTGCTTCATCGCTGAGATAAGAAACGAGATAGTTGAAATGCTCGGTCAATGGAACTCTCTGAAGGTATGCTGTGACTTTAAATTTCCAAACGGAGTAATCCGATGATGTTTCGAGCAGTGGTGGCTGGCGTGGGGTTGAACCGAGAGCAGCCCTGATTGGAATCAGAGGGGATTCGTCTAGATTCTCATCGCGTTTTTCCGTCGCACCTCCATCACCAGTTGCAACACGTGTAATCGGAAGTCACTGGAAGGCGGAAAGACCTAAAGCCACAACACACACAATGTTAACTGAACACTTCACACCACAGAGAGAACACGGAATGGAGACCACCAGTCGTTTATTTTTAAAATTAAAAATTCGCGGGTTCTGTACAGAAAAGAGAGCTAGTTTACAAAACGGTCTTATGAGTCGTCCTGTAAGTTTAGTGCGTGCAGGGCTTGCTCTTCTTCTTCTAAAGCATTCAATCTTGCTTGCCCTGCAATAGAAAGAAAACAAAATCTATTAACAACATCATACATGATGATTTAAATCCCGTTACAGTAAACTGTTATCAAATTTAGATACAGCTATAGGCTGCCTTTGGACTATCGTTTGTTATAATCATTCTTTATGTTACTCTTACTGGAAGCCTTTGCTATTTTCATTCTTGAACGACGCGTTTAGACGCCTAGACACCTCACAAGTTGAGGTTTGTAACTAAATTTTGTGTATTATTTAATAAAGAACCGCTTTTGTAGACAAATCGTTGTTTTGGAACTTCGATTTTACGCGTATCTCAATCGGGGTTACTTGGACGCTTCGATAGAATTAACAATGACTAAATGTTAAAATCTGAAATATCTTACCATTGTCATTATATATATATATATCCCGCGGGCGGGACCGTGGATGCACACTGATGAAGAGTCCCATACTAGGACGAAACAGCTTTTCAATACTCCCAGGTATTCCATGGTAGTCTAACTTTAATTGACTAATGAATTCAACTACTATATTATTATAATATCCACAAAACCCCCTTTCTGATAAATAAACAACTTGATTGAATTACGAGTTGAATGCTGTATTTTTCAACCGAAATGTGGAATAATGATTGATTATGGTATTATATGTAAACTAGTTAAATGAAATCTATTTAAATATAAGTAAATACTGAATAAATGTGTCAATTTAGTTTATAACTTATAAACATAATACATAAACAAATGTCATTTCATTATTATATCCGTTTTAATATCTACATTCCCCTGATAACCACTATTCATCTTTGCTTAGCAACGGTTAAATGTTAAAAATTGAGTAATTATGAATTGGAATAAATTTGAAGTAAGTTTTGTGTTGAATATCTATGAGAAGTGATGATCTCTATTCAGAAGCAACAGTTTCGGTGTTTTATCAATACAGGGTTATGGAGATTATTTAGTTTTTAATTGAGTTGATGTACTGATTGATGTTAGACTACCATTGAAAACCTAGAAGTACTGAACGGTCGTTTCATTCTATTGTGGGACACCTTAGCAATGAGCATCCACGATCCCGCTCACGGGATCAAAATGTTTCTATGTTTGTTTGCTTCTGGTTGCCGCTTTGCTTGTCGGTAAATTGTTATCAAGAATAGACACAGTTAGCACTTGTCGTTTGCATTATCGTATGTCACAATAGTTGAAGTTAGACATTAACACCGTTGGATGCCGGCTCAGTGGTCTAATGGTTAAGTGCTCGCGCGCGAAGCCAGTAGGTTCTGGGTTCGAGCCCCGCGTGGTGCGGGAACGTGGATGCGCACTGCTGAGGAGTCCCATACTAGGACGAAACGGCCGTCCAGTGCTTCCAGGTTTCCAGTGGTGGTCTAGCTTCAACTGACTCATGATTTCAATCTGTGTCATTATGTTATTATTTTAGAAAACCTTTTTTCTTTCAAACTTACAGACTCACTAAGCGCCACAGATACATCATGAATTGAGTTATGTAGATCATTAACGTATATTACTCAATAAAAAACACAGCTTTTTAGACAAATCGCGCGTATCTCAACCATGTAATGAGATTCTTCAACAGATTTAACAATTAATAATAATACTAAGCAATTTAATTTGTCATTGTTTGCATCTCAGACTCATTTTATTTCAACATCCATTGAAAAGCGGGAGACACTGACTATCCATTTCGTCCTAGTATGGGACTCTTCATTAACAAGCATTGAACCTAGTGTCTTTAAGTCTCTCAGGATCAGTCAATAGCTGTGTGGTTTCTACTGGTTCACACATCTAACTTCAATTGATTTATGCTATATGTCAACCAACTCCTCTTGGGTAACTGTCACTCATCCAACACGGTTTATATTTTCTGATATGGTAATCATTCTTATTATATCAAGTGAATATGTGTTAAATTTGTTTGATTATTGTTCGATGTATTTATTTGTAGAGAACAATTACGTTCGTATGAAACTAATGTAATTACGTTTCTCAAATCGGTGGAGGTACTTGATCCCACGAACTTGGATACAACAAATATCTATAAGGTAATTCTTAAGGAATGATAATAACAAAATATTAACAATATTTTCCACCGAAATTGATTAATTTGATCTGTAAGAGTTCGTATTTTCTCTACATTTATGTTAAGGCTTATAATTGATTAACCTCTTTTGACATACATACGTCCTGATCGGATTAACAAATAGTTACAAGCTTCGATTAAGATTGGATTATGGCTAGGAGTGAAATTCAGCACGTGCATTTCGACATATATACAGGATCTATCAATTGAATGTATCTGACATATCCTAGTGTTGGTATTCATACTTGTGCTCGGACCCGTTACCTTTCTCATCAAACGCATTATCAATTGAGCTACTGAATCTACATAGCCACTAATCTGTTTAACAGATGTGATGAACGCAATCAACTAAAAAAATCCCTTACTGATTAAAACCATACATATTCTAAAACTTTTTTTATTTATTTCAACACATAGATATTGGTAAAAAGAGGCACCAAATAGATATGCGCCACACAAATCTCATTCGATATGTGTGAGGGCTGTGATACTACCAGGGAGCCCAAACCGAAGCAGGTGGTTTTCTTAGGGGGCCACTCCCCGAGCCTTCGACCTAAAGGTCTGATCCACAAGGCAGTCGAGCAACGTAAGGAGATGCAGTCCGATGGTAGCCGGTGACCAACGATTGGTTCATACGCCGTTTGTTCCCGCAGGATACTGGAGCCCATGTACACCAGTGGTTTGGAATCCGGTTCAAGCGCCGGACATTCGCTTTTCGTCCTCTCGTTTTCGTAAACAACACCCCTGGTGCGAGAAGGCAGTGAGTAGGACTTCCCTGGCAGAGGCTATATATGCGTGGCCATGTGAGAGCATTTGGAGAGGGAGAGCGAACTTTCCCCACTATCGGCCGTACCAGAGCATTTGGGGGCATTCTACAAACTAGCGGTATTATGAACTCAATAGCTCAATCAATAATACGTTGGACGTTCAAAATGGATTTTACTATATTCCAGTCTCAGCTTAAACATTAACAATAGATTGTAGTAGATGTATCCAGTTGATCAATCTTAAGTCGATCGTAACATACTTCATGTAGTCCACTACTAGTCATTGTCTAACTGGTCAATGAAAAGGAATATCAAACATATATTTAAATCTACTTTGTCTTAGTAAATAGCATCATTTATCTGTAAAAATAGATTTAGAACGGTAATCTGCATAATTTCTATGTACAGATTATTGTATTCATAATGATTTGACCTAATTAGTCCAAGTATTCTATACTTAAAACAATGGAATCTTATAATTAAACTAATTTGGTTATTGGTTCTGACTAGTGGTGTTTCATTTTTTCTTTATAAATAAGATATGAATGTAAATGCTTATATACTTGAACAACATACACACACATACAAACACACTTAAGTGGATGTTACAACTCATTATACAAAATGAAATGAAGTATATGTGCGACTAATGGAGAAGAGTGTGCCAATAACAATAGCATGAACGGTAAGTATTTAAGGCTACGGTGGTAATTCAAGTAAAACCAAGATCGATTTTTCTAGTGTAAGTAGAAGGATCTTACTTTTCATTAAGTCTTTAAACAGAATACTACAGATGAATAGCTAATGGATTCTATTTTGAGCTAAGCACAATGGTGTTTCTAAAACCTTACGCAGGGAACTGTGGTGAACCAACAGATTGTTTTCTCATGTACAGCTAGCATTCGTCTCACAGCCTCATATATAAGTCTAACTATTTCTGCACCCTATTTATTTTATGAGAATGTCGATAAATACTGCTCGGTATAATGAAATCTAAAATCACATGTATAAAATATGACCAAGTCAGTGAAGCTTGTGTTTGAAGATGGAAACACTCACAATATTTTATCAGCTGTATTTTGTCTAAAGAACCTCTCAGGGACTTTGTCATTACTTACAAAGTGTTTCCACCGCATACAAGCATTCATTCAGAGATGACAATAGTCTAGGGCAAAGAGTGGAGGCAATAGTTACATGAATAGAACAAAGCTGTTCTCAATGACGTATTATTGGATGCCCAAACATTTATAGTCAAGCCGACTTTACAACGGACATAGAGACGACTTTAAATGACATATTTTTGTAAAAACGATTTCAGTGTGTTGATGAGCTTTCTTTTTCAATATTTAGTTTCAGAGCACATTGTTGTTCAACTAGTTGGAGGATAATCTGTTATAAAAAACTGAAACGACTTTCGACTTGAAATACGTGTGACCATGTTTAAACAGTTAACGAACAATACAAGACGTGATTAATTCATCTACTACGTGAATCAAGATTTACACGCTTCTCTGAGACCCCTCACTGGTTTGCATAATTTGTTTAGTATAATGACAGACAACCACGTTGACAAACTTACTTTGATAATACTTATCACATGCATTAAGAAAGCCATTTTAAAGTGTGGTCAGATAATGAGCAATTTATATGTTCTAGGTTGGCTAGGTTAAGTCATCCTTGTCAAATGACTTGCTTCTTTTTAAGGATTGTTCTTTTCAACTCTCCTTTTCCGAGATTAATTAGCACTCACTGGCACCAACAGTCTGGTCACAGTTGCTAGATCAACTCACTACTTTCCAATATTGTTCGAAGCACTCCTATTGTACTTGGAAATTACTCATTATATTGCCGAAAAATTTTGTGACCATTTCATTAACACGATGACTCTTGTTGTTATCAGATGCACCTCTTGTTTTTCCTCTCAACATCACATCTTGACCAGCACTTTAAAGGTGTGTGCCACTGGATTTCAACTCAGTGTTCTGAAGGTGAGGAGATTGCCTCGAAGCCTCAAGGTGCTGCATTCGAACCCTAATGAGATCATGAAGACACAGCTGACGAGTATCAAACTATCATGAAACATCTGTTTAGTGCTTTCTAGTTTACCATGGTTGTCTACCGAAAGTCGGTTTGATGATAAAAACTAGAAAAATTCAACAATGTCCACAAAATCCTCTATATCAATCAATATGTAAACGGTTACTTACGCCTGTTAATCCCAGTGGAGCATATACTGCTTGGTGCCCCTCTGAGGCTACTGCCGGTCCCAAGCCCAAATAAAGAAGGAGGGTTGGATTTGGGGGTAGCGACCTGATCCTGTAGAAAACTAACTCGCCAAAAAACGCTAACTAGTGATCCTCAATAGTACTTAATTATTATCAGAAACGTTTCTTGTGAATATTATTTTAATTTAATAGTTGAGTTCATGAGTCGAATTTAAGCTAGACCGTAATAGAAAACCTGGAAGAACTGGACAGCCGTTTCGTCCTATTGCGGGACTTCTCAGAAGTGCGTATCCATTATCCCGACTGCGAGACCCGGACACAGGGCCTTCAGTCTTTCGCGCGAACACTAACCTCTAAACCACTGAGTTGGCATCCAACGGTGTTAATGTCTAACGTTAACCAATCTACGAAATTGCGGAACCATCTTCCATTGTATTAAGGTAGATACCTATCTCTATCTGATATGAATTAGCTTCATTGGTCACAGCTTCTTACTAGAACTTCGAGAATTCCCTCACGAAGCTATAGTCGCTAATGAGCACATGGTATTTATCAGTATAGGATTATAGAGATCATTAAGTTTTTGATTGAAATCATGAATCAACTAATGTTAGACCATCATTGAAAACCCGGAAACACTGAATAGCCACTTCGTCCCATTGTGGGACTCACAGAACTCACGATTCCTGTTTTTCCATAATGATCTCACTTCAAATGAACTCATGAACTCAACTATGAAATTACTGAATTCCTAATTATCAACACTAAAACATTAATCAATGAGTTCATCAATTGACTGCTATTTAATCATTTAATCGATGTGATAAAGTTACAAATATGAGTTTTTGAGATATATATATTCCCCAACACTCCTCCCCTTTTTAATAGCGTACTTTTCTGGGGTCGACTTGCATCTTGAATGTAGTTCACCGCTGACGGAGAGGCCACTTTCTGGGACGGGGATCAGCTTGCTGTTGAGCTTCTTGTAGTGGGGCTGCAGGTAAGTTGAAGGTATCAAGCAAGATGTCGAGAGGAAGATTTACTCCTGTTGATGAGCGGTTCAGGGTTATCCGCTTCCGTAGTTGATTTCGTTGTCTAGTCCACGTGTCTCTTCCCACTTTTACCTCGTACATAACTTGACCTAGTCTTCCAACCACACGTGCTTCCATCCAAAGACCATGATTTCCTCTGTAGTCTCGAGTAAACACTGGGCATCCAACCTCGTATTCTGGAAGCTTCTGAGATGGTGGTGGTGGTGTGGTTCTTAGACACATCAGACTATGGATCGTTCTGTTTTGTTTTTTTCATAATAATCTAACTTCAATTGAACTCATAAACTCCACTATAAAACTAATGAATTCTTAATTATTGTTGTTTGTTTTTCTCTCTTTTCTTTTCATTAGGAAAAAATTGTCTTTTTAATTACACGTGTAGAATATGCTAATTTATATCATACAATGACTGATTGGTATAATACTTATTTAACAATGAAATTACTTAATTTATCCATTAATAATATACATTTATTAATAACTGATGGACATCCTATAGGTAATTTAGATGAAGTATGGTATCAATTATTTAATTATTCTATATCAAGAATTGGTGCCTATAGACAAATTACAAATTATATTCATCATAATAATACAAATTTATTACCAATATTACCTATGAATAAGAATTATCTATTACATATACATAAACTTGTTATAATACCATATGGTTATTCAAGTCCATTATATGTTGATAAACCACTTTTATCTAATATGTATATTGAGGAATTTCGACAATTTCTTCTTCAAAGTTATCATTACAATATGAATGATAATTTATGTTATAAACACATAGTAACTAATTATCAATTACCACAAATTATTATTATTAGTCGACGTAATTATATTGCACATCCACGTAATATAAATGGACATATTAGTAGAAAAATCAATAATGAATTACAATTATTAAATCAATTAAAACAATTAGGTTTTACAAATTCATTAATTATTGATTTTATTAATTTAACTATAAGTGAACAATTAAATTTAATTATTAATACAGATATATTAATTGGTATGCATGGTGCTGGTTTAACTTATAGTTTATTATTATCAAATACATCAATGTTAATTGAATTATTCCCTAATTATTGTTGTATTAATAATCAACATTTTATTAAATTTACTAAATTACGTCATATTGATTATTATGCTTATTATGGTTTATCAATAAATGATAATAAACAATTAGAATCAACTTATATACCGATTGATGATTTTCAAACAATCATATTACAAACATATAAGAAATGGAAAGAAAATTGTATGAAAATAAATGAAAAAACAAAACAGCAAACAAAGAGTAGATGATCTTCTATGAGGAACGGGGGGGCGGAGGGTTTTGTTTCTTTGTTAGTTGTTTTGTTTTGTTTGTTTTGAGAAACTATTTTTGGGGGTGTTATATCCTAGCGAAGATTAAATCATGAGTAACTTCTGCTGAGACCTGTTAATTGAGTAATATTATCTATACATTCTTATGGTATAATTATTCAATAATTAGATTATAAATATTTATATTCCCCTTGTTATAAGCTTTATTTTGATCTATAATTTATTACTGTACGATTTACGGTTCATAAGCTATGTTCATTTTGTTGATGATTACAGTCTCTCATGTTCACAGCCAATTTTTGGCTCTATTGTGTACAAATGTGATTTCCTATTTTATGATGCGTTGCGATCTTTTTTGATTGATATGTCTAAAATAAATGATTCGATTCGATTCGCATATTGGAACCTTGTATTTGGTGTTCTGAACTCAAATGGACGGGTTAGTCGGACCATAGGATCAATAAGGACGCTAGACTGCTCATACCGGTCGAACGTCATTGAATTTGGCATAGTGCTACGATTGTAAAAGTCGTATTTTGATTGGTGGATAAATCACGTGATAAAAAGCCGGACATAAAGTCATAACAGGGGGGGGTTTTTTTTTCTTTTTTTTTTTTTTTTTTTACAGTGAAATAACTGATTTAATGATGTATAAACATTTATATACAGATCTATATGGATACTGATAATAGTATTTGTGATACATTGAAGAACAAATAGATATTGTAAAGGGAATTGTAGATTGCTCAGAAATGGAATGAAACATTTTTCGGAGGGGGGGGGGTTTTCTTTTCTTTTTTTAAAAAAAAGAATTTTGAAGGGGGCGTTTTTATCTTTTTTTTAACATTTTTTTGTTGTTTTTTTTACGCTGAACTAAGTGATTTAATGATGTATATGTATCTATATAAAGTCCTATATGAATATTAATATAACTATTTGTAATACATTGAAAAATAATTAGATATTGTAAAGAGAACTGTAGATCGCTCAGAAACTGAATAAATAATTTGGGGTGGGGAGTTTGTTTTCTTTTTTTTAATTTTTCGGGGGGGGGTCTTTCTTTTTACTTTTTTTTTGATATTTTTTATACTGAAATAAATGATTTACCGATGTACATGCATCTATATGCACATCTATGTAAATACTAATATAACTATTTGTAATACATTGAAAAAATAAACAGATATTGTGAAGAATATTGTAAATTGTTCAAAAAATGGATAAAAAAAATTTCTGAGGGGGGAAAGGTTTTCTTAATTTAACTTTTGAGGGGGGCTCTTTTCTTTTTTTAAAAAGTTCTATATGATTACTGACAACTATCTGTAATAAGTTTGATACTGTAAAAGACAAAGCAAATAATTTGACATTTTGGAAGAGGAATATCGTTAAAGTTACGGCGGTTTATTTTAATTTTTCATCAAATGGGTAGTGGGCAATCATAACCATTGTGTAATTAATATCAACCTATAAAAATTATAAAACTTGGTTTCGGTTGTTTGTATGTTTGTGATAAGTCCCCGTCGCCATTGATAAGTCTTGCGAATTGAACGCTATTTGTTTCCTAAGCTATTCTGTGATTCCCAAGCTAGAACTGTGCAGCGCCCTGAACACAAGAGAGAAGACGCAAAGTATGCGAGAAAATACTTTACTCTAAGGTTCTGTTATTTTGTACAGAAAAACACGGGTATTTATTGATGTTCACATTTGTTAAATCAACATCATATTTTAGCCAATCCGCCAAAAGAAATATTATGCTACTGACTAATAGTTGACATTCTAGAAGGCTCCATCATACTCTGATTGGCTAGAACTCTTCGGCTTCTCTAGGGCCTCTGGAGGGTCCGTTGCAGTTCTCTGTTTGTTTGTTTTTATTTTGGATTGAATAAGAAAATCCACTAGTTAAACAAACTGAGGAAGTTCAGACAAGTTAGCTGGACGAAACGGAACTATTTTAAATGTCAATCGCTGAGATTATTTCAAATATACTTTTCACATACAATGTCTGCACTATAGTTTGTTATTATAATATAATAATATCTTCTGATTCAGTTGTTAGTTTTATTCGTTTCCGATTTCTTTCTTGTTCTCTTCATTTCAATCTTCGGCTGGTCGGCATTTCACCTGTCAACATAAGTAGCATACACCATATGTATATTGACCTATTGAGTCTAGATAGTCACCAACATATTTAATTAGTATAAAGTAAGTAGTGAGTAATCATGACTCTCTTAGTGTTAATATTCTAGAATAGAATTATTCAGTGACTTTTCAATATCAACAAGGGTAAACCACTCATTTGCTCTAATTTTTTCATACTCATTGTATAATTTATTAGCTATCTGAACTCAGCAGTTCAGTAGACAAAGCGAATTATGGATTATTTATTTCAGCAGTTTTATCGATAAAACCAATTTTATCAGAATGGGTTTTGTGGAGATTTTTTAGAAATTTCACAGGCTGAAATCATGATTCATTTGAATCTAGACATTAACACCGTTGGATGCAGGCTCAGTGGTCTAATGGCTAAGCGCCTGGTGCGAGACTGATTGGTCCTGGATTCGAATCTCACGGGGGGCGTGTCGTGGATACGCACTGCTGAGGAGTCCCATACTAGGACGGAACGGCCGTCCAGTGCTTCCAGGTTTTCCATGGTGGTTTAGCTTCAAATGACTCATGATTTCAGCCTGTGAAATTTCTAAAAAATCTCCACAACACCTATTCTGATATTAAAACTTATATGCTAGTTGAGTGGAACATAGATGATTAACTATCTGGTGAAGTAATTAGGGATGGTACAAATTCCTTTTAAAAAAATACTAAGTATTATTGTAAGCTTGGAGAGTTTTAACTTTTGTAAATGTTGGAGACGAAATCGAATCGCCATGGGAAACGGCAAGGGTACTCTATCAATTAATCGAGAATCGACTGATCTAAACTGGTTAGCGATTGCAGGAGAAGTTGAGCACGGCGTTCTCACACATGATCTGGTGTGGATTCATGACCGAGCGCTTTCAGTTAGATGAGTCCATTAAAACGAAGACTTACAAACAGAGTTATTGATTTTGGAGATTTATTTACCGCTACAATAGCTCTGATTTATTGTTATTAATAATCTATTTCATTTGACTGCGATCACTGATTCATAAAATCTCTACATCGACTTAAGATTTTTTCATATATATCCATATCAAAGTTATTGTATGCATGAGAATAATTTCAATCATTAATTTAGTGGTGAGACTATAATTTATGGACGACCTTTGAGTAACTTTAAAGTAACCTTAAGAATGTCTACCAACTTAATAGAGCTAAATGAGGGTTATAAATCATTTGTGAAATACAAAGAATATGATTTATAGTTGATGGTTAACATTAGGTATTAGATATAGGATTTCTATCACTAATTGATATTAGCTATAATGCCAAAATGTTATTTAACCAAATGGATGATTGAATTTCGCTCAGAAATCCGATATCTATTATCTTATATCTGATTGGTTTGTTCATAAATTATAGTCCGCAAATGCCGTTGTACGACCGAGGGTGAGAAAAGTCAGCTCACCTTCTCTAAATGCTCTCACATGAACACGTGTATACAACCACTGTCAGGGTAGTCCTACTCACTGCCTTCTCGCACCATGGGTGTTATTTACAAAATTGAGAGGATGAAAATCGAATGTCCAGCAGAAGATTTAACTGGGTTGATGAACACAGAGGGTTCATATAGGGGAGTTGGAAAATCCTGATTCCAAACCAGTGATGCACATGGGCTCCATGAACCTGTTGGTGGTCACCGACTACCATGGGACTGCAACTCCTGACGTTGCTTCACTGACTTGTAGATCAGACCTTTAAGTCGAAAACCACCTGCTTCTGTTTGGGCACCTGGGCATAATCCCAGCCCTCACATAAATCGATTGATTTACGTAGCACATATCTATTTGGTGCCTCGTACTAGTGTTTATGTGTTTATATATATAATCTCAATGATTGAAATGTCAATAAATCCAACGTTTCATCCCAAACTCCGCCTTGAGCCCCTGCTAAACTGCTGACGGTTCCAAGCCCTGATAATACAGGAGGGTTGGGCATAGGATTAACGACCCCATCCCGTAGAAAACTAACTCGCTAAAAAAAAACGCCAAATGTTCGTCCAGAAAACTTGTCAAAGAAATATGTAGCGTATAACAAACAAATGAAATCGGCGAGACTCTAATTTATGGACGAGCTTTGAATGAATCTTAAGTGACCTTGAGAAATGTTAGACAATCAGCAAACAGTCAGTATAGAGTAAAAATATATTATGAAAAAACAAGGAAATCAAGTGGATACACTTCTTATACGTGGTTCAAAAACTTGTCAAGGTTAGAAAGAGGTTCAGAGGTTCTAAAATCGTAATGCATCCAGTAGAGGAAATAATCCATACGGCTACAGAATAGTCGGTCTCCGGAGCCATGATAAGGTCACAAAAACTCTCTCAGCCTCGACGACATAGCCTCAATATTGTTTATGTGCACTCCGATTGTTGAGTGCACAAAATGCTACTTGTGGATAACGACATGAACTCCGCCTGTAGCTCTTCTACAGTTACTGCCGGTCCCAAGCCCGGGTAAAGGAGGAGGGTTGGGCATGGGATTAGAGTCCCCATCCCGTAGAAAACTAACTCGCTAAAAAAACGCTTACCAGAAAAAATAATCCAAACCATTTTAACTCTGCCCTGGGAGTTAGAAGGTCTTCATTTAGAAGAATTATGACGCTTCATGGTGAAAGCCGAGTTCCTTCGGAAGCCACGAGGCCGATGCCCCTTCTAACAACCACAGCAAAAATTTTTATAGGTACATGGAACGTTCGAACAATGTGGGAAACCGGGAAGACCAGTCAAATAGCAATGGAAATGAGGAGATACAACTTAGCAGTACTGGGAATCAGCGAAACCCACTGGACCCAAGCTGGACAGAAAAGGCTAGGTACTGGAGAGATGTTGCTATACTCCGGTCACAAGGAGTAAAATGCTCCACACACTCAGGGAGTTGCTCTAATGCTGTCCAAAGTAGCATGAAATGCACTTGTAGGATGGGAATCCCACGGATCCAGAATCATCAAAGCATCATTCAAAACAAGGAAGGAGGGGATCACAATGAATATTATCCAATGTTATGCACCCATCAATGATAGCAACGACGACATTAAATATCAATTCTACGAGCGGCTGCAGTCAATCATAGAGAAATGCCCAAGAAAGGACCTCACCAT